TTTCCATTCGTTTATTGTTGCACTTTTCTCCCTGCCCAGCCCTCCTCCCCCAGTTCGTTCCTCTCTTTGAAAAGTAAAATTCTTTCTTTGGTATACAATCCCCCCCCACCCCTCCCACCACCCTGAGTACACTCCACTATGCAACCTTAATTCTGGACTCTTGTGATAACCATAATACCCTATCATATCACTTTTAAATTGTTCTCTCCTTCATCTGTTTCAATGCAGTAGACATAATTTATCCAGTTTTTCTCAGTCTTACCCTAACCCTGATATCAGTCCCATTCCACAACATGGCACCATGCAGTATTTGTCCTTTTGTGCTGAGATATTTCACTCAGCATAATGTCCTCCAGTGTTACCCATTTTGAATAATATTGCATAAGTTGCTTATTTTTCAATGCAGCGTAGTATTCCATTGTGTGACTATACCACAGCTTCTCTATCCATTTGTTTGTTGATGGGCACTTGGGTTGTTTCCAACTCCTTGCTATTGTGAACAAAGCTGCGATAAACATGGGTGTGCATGTATCTGTTTGGATGTCGGTTACGGTCTCTTTAGGGTATATTACCAGTATTGGAATTGCTGGGTCAAATGATATCTCTATTTGCAACTTTTTGAGAAAGTGCCACACCACTTTCCACAGTGGTTGCACCATTTTACACTTCTACCAATACTGAATAAGGGTTCTAGTTTCTCCACAACCTCTCCAGAATTTGTGGCTTGCTGTTCTGTTAAATTTTGCTATTTGGACTGGGGTGAGATGATATCTCATAGTTGTTTTGACTTGCATCTCTCTTAGAACTAGGGATTTTGAACATTTCTTCATGTGCTTGTTGGCCATCTGAATGTCTTCTTTGGTGAAGTATTGGGTTATTTTTTAAAGTGAGGTTTTTATTGTATGTGTTTAGTATCAATCTTCCATTAAAGTGATAGATTCTTAAATGGGCTTACAATTAAATTGTGGTAGAAAAAAAAGAACCTTGTATTTTACAGCTTTAGTTTTCTGTGATAGTGTACTAGATAGAACAGTCAAGCACTTTACTCCCAGCCAAAAGGTTGGCATTTGGAAGCCCCTGGAGGTGTCTAGGAAGACAGGCCTGGCAATCTGCTTCCAAAAGGGCTCAAGTCTTAAAAACCCTACAGAATAGTGGTCTACACACCTGAGTCAGAATCACCTTCAGTGCAACCACCACCACTAAGAAAATTTTTCTAGAGGCTAATACATCAACTTTTTTTTTAAAATACTACTTTTATAGAAAGTTAAGAATAGGTTTGCACACAGAAAGAAACATTCTTTTATTGTTACCTTGGGAAGGAAAGGAAAGGAAATCACTTGCTAAATTAAAAAACTCCCTCAAATTCACCATCAAGTTGGTTTCAACTCATAACGACCCTCAATTAGATTTCTGAGGCTGTAAATCACAACAGGAGGGGATTGGTAATCTTTCTCTTGAGCAGCTTTTGGTGGATTTGAAGTGGCGATCTTTCAGTTTGATTCCCAACAAGTAATAAACAATGCCACCAAGCACATGATAAATCTAATGAAGGGAAAGGTAATTCACAACATGGAGGAAGTCAGCACAACATGACCAAAATTGGTGAAGACACTGAGAAATACTTAAGGGTAAAGGATAATCACAGTAAATTCTATAACATTATGACATCAACTTTTAAAATAAACTATACAAGTCTAGTCAAAAGCTTCTATTTATTAGGCAAAATTAGTAATATTAGTACAAATGTATTTTTAAATTTATATTTAAAATGAAAAATTAGAGGTTTAATGAAAGTCATTATAGTTTAAAAAAAACCCCTGCACTCAGTACTATTAGAAATTGATAAAATATTTATTAACAATTACAAAGATAAAAAAATGCATCTTACAATGCTGGTAACTTTCGTTAGAGGAAAGACTAACAATATATATTTTTCTCTACAGTATTTTACAGAAAAGCATTTTTGATATTTCAAGTGTCTGTGTCAAATAAATGAATAAAGAGAAATAGAGGGACACAGTTGGGTACATGGAAACCACTCTGATGACAATTTTCCTCCCATAAACAAACCTGAGTAAATGTATGATGCCTTTGTGTGTGTATATACTCTGCTTCAATACTTTTCTCATAGAACACTTGTTGAAGGGTAGTTTTAATTTACACAATAGAATTTCCATTCCACAGTAACTGCCACAATAAACGATCGATCGAAGTACAGTTTCCATTTCTAGTCAGTGATCATTATTACCGCATATATTTTTTGAAAGTAAACCTCACTATGCTTATCACAGTAATTGACAGTATTATCATTGTACATACAGAAAGCTCTGCGGCCCAGTGGTAAGAAGCTGTGCTGCAATCCCAAAGGCATGTGACTGGAGTGCTCCAGCTGCTCTATGGTCTATGCTCCTCCAGTGTGATGACTGCCTCTGAAAATCTCCTGGAGGGTCAGCTATGGGTTGGTCCGACTCGGCAGCATACAACAACAATGGGACATACAAATTCATTTAAAAAGTTGTATTAAATTTGGTGATAAGTAAACCCAAAGAAAAAATTTAAAAACACAACCAATTTAATAGGGATTAGTATCAAAGAAGAGATGATTTTGCTCTGATGGAATAAGGGAGTGAAACAATAATGTTCCAGCAAACTATTTAATGTACTTATTAGCAAGAAAAGGGAAAAAATATTTAGTACAATTTTTTTTCAGTGCATACAAATAAGAACTTGGGAATTCCTAAGTCTAGAAACTTAATGCTAAGATTCTAGAAATGAGTGCACATTCTTTAGTAGCTGTATTGTATAGACTTATTTTAAGATACAGTTCCCTAAAATAAGCTCCCCGTGCCACAACATCAAGCTTATCTGGGATTTCTTGAAAAATTAACAAATTTACCTGACCTCAACTATCTTTGAAATCTACAAAGATACAGGTAAAGTTGAGATTCTGTTAGCATACCATTTACCAATAAAACCCTTTCCTTTATGATTAGCATTTTTGAAAAAACATAGCTAGATCTTTTCTTAATCTTCTCAAATACGTTCATGTCTTACTGCTTGTGACTACGTGCACAACTTTGAGGAAAACAAAATCAATAAGTAAAATAAACTTAGGTAATTATTTGGGGAAATCTTTTAGATAATAGCAATTTTAATTATTATTAATGATTATACTTTATCTTTATACTGATTTTTCCCCCCCGACTTTAAAATACGTTGTTTTTAAGGTGCTGATGAGTTGGAAGTGACTCAGAGTGAACCTCTAGAGGGTATTTAGAGGCTGTAAGTCAGGTGGGAGGACACTGCTCATCTTTCTCCCTCAGAGCAGCTGGTGGATTTGAACTGCCTGTTTTTGAATTGGCAGCACATGTCCTTACCCACTAAGCTACGAGAGCTCCACTTTACGCTATACTACATACTTACTGTTATATTTTAATTTGTAAGTAGAATAACTAAGTTAGAGGTCATATATCTAGCAAACTCAACAGTCTGTAACACAGTTAAACCTTTAAAAAAAACCAAAAAAACCTCACCAGACTCTCTTTACACAAAGAAATTCCTACAGTTCATATTTAAATATCTATACACTTAGGAAAAGCCTTTAATTAGACCCAATTTAATGAGACTTCAATTCACTCTATTAAGAATCTATAACACAGTTTATAACCTTAACAAAAAGTGAAAAAGTTTCCCAGATTTCAGAAAGTCCATATACACTTTCAGAAACTCCCTTAGGTTCTCTTTTGGGCATGTTATATTTTATTTCCTATAAAAGTCAATGTCCTAGAACACAGAATTCCTATGACCTTGGTTGTCACAAGGGAAAAAGAACTGGCTGAAACAGGTACACTATCAACCTAACCTGAAAATAACTACAGGCATAAGATTTAGAAAAGGGCAGCTGAGGCCATGGTGTGGTGTTAAGGGCTTATTGTTCAAAACGGCTTCTCTAGCCATTTGACTTTGCCTTTGCCATGTGGGTGGATGGGAATATGGAAATAGAGTGTGTTATCCTATCCACAAGGGGATTGGCCAGTCTCGCCATTGAATTGAGTGGATCCAGCAGCAGAATAAGAGAAATCTCACTACCAGCAAAAAAAAAGAAAAGCAAGAGAATGCAAATGCATTCTTCCGGGTGAGATATTCTTATGCCATTTAGACTGGGGCCTATGGAAACAGCCGCCACAGAATAGAACTAGAGACCCAACAGGAGATGGAGTGGATCTTGGGACTGCTATGCCATTGAATCAGAGCTGAAAGCCTTTTGTCCAAGTTTTTTTGGAGGAGGAGGGTAGGGGGTGGAAGTCATAATGGACATGACTGAGAGCTTTGTCACATTGGCCTAAAGCCACAAGGATCAAGGCTGAGGTTCCCGCAAACACATTTTGGATGCTGTCCTGACTGAATTCTGCTACTAACCTGAAGTATAGCTTTTGATTTTCCTAATACGGTTCTGTGTGGTCTGTGAGCTATTGTTTAGGATTTTGGACTTAATAAAGCAGTAGTAAGATAGATGTTGGGATGAGTAGAAAGAGATGTGAGACACGGGGAACAGGTGTGACTGCATGTGTTGCTGATGCTGTTGACAGAGACAGTTCCCCTTTGTGAAGTTAGCAATAGTCAGATATGACTGTACCCATGGGGCACTTACTCTTTTTATTAGTGGTAAACACACTTTAGTAACTTCTTGAGACTTCAATAAGTTTATGTGTATTTTAATAGGTGAAATTTATGATTGTTTCAATGAAATATTAGAAAAGTACCTCAACAATTAGAATATTGCTATTAGGAAGTTTATAAATGTGTTTAGAAATCTATATGTAATGGTTAAAGTGAAATAAATTGTCTAACGTAGATAAGCTTTGACGATATGGATAGCACTTTTATGGATATAAGACTTGTTTTCAAATAATACAGAATAAAGTGAGTTGTAATAATTCAAAAGCACTGAAATATTTATGTGTAAAATGGAATATTTCATTAGAATAAATGTAGCAAGTTTAAAAATCACTATTAATGTTTTTATTTTCTGGATTATATTCTTCTAAAGTTCCCTTTTCTTTTATATTTGAAAACGCAACAAAATCATGCACTTTTCCCTTTAGAACGTCTAATTCATTTTGCATCTTTAATATGCTATTATCATACTGGATTCCGTCAAGGGTTTTCTGCATCTCCATAATTTCTGACACTGCTTTCAACATGTCATCTTCCATATTGAACATCTGCAGAGTCAAGTCCTCCATTTTCTTTTCTGTTCCTATCAGATCCTGAGAGACTCTGAGAACAGAATGAACGGCATTTTCAATTGTTGGTAAATGCGTCTTACATTCCTTGACCTTGGGTTCATAACTGGAAAGTTTACTAGTCAAATCTTCATCCCTGGCAAAGAGGGCCTGCTGCTCTTCCTCCAATTTTTCAACTGCTTTTGTCTCGGAGCCGAGCTGTTCCTCGACTCGGAGGAGATCCTCTTCTTCCTGCCTTTTCACTGTTCTGATATTTCTTTGGGTGCTCTCCTCCAATTCTTTCAGTCTTTCAGTGAGCAGTTTTATTCCTTGTTCAGCTGAGTTAATTTGCACAGTAACTCGAGAGTGTATATGCTTTGCCTCTGATTTGAAAGTGTCTGTATTGACGTTCATTTCTTCTACACTTCTTTTCCAGAACTCTGTAGCGTTCTGGAGCTTCTCATTCAGGCTTTGTATCTTTTGCGTGAGCATGGCCTCACTGCTTTGAATGTCTTGCATGATGTTTTGGAGGCCAGACACTTCCTGCTCAAACTGGGTCACCAAAGACATGGATGACGTAGCTTCCTGCAGGATACTCTCAGTAGACTCAAGCTGTATTTATAACACAAAACAATTCCCAGGGCTACTTAATAACTGTTATAGTAAGAAAACATGCTTAAT